ACTCAAAGCGATATAAACTGAATATTATTGACAGATGTCTAACCTCTCTGAAACCACCGAAATCAGCTGTCACTATGAAACATTCATAACAGCCAGAGCTATCTTTTGAAAACGGACCGAATTAATTTGTACTCCCAATATGTAAAAATATGATTAACCGTGTGTAATAATTCAATAATAATAATGATTCGACAAAAAATATTGTGCAAGATTATTACACGAGCTGTAATGTTGACGCTTATTAGTTAGAAGCGTCCGACGATTCTGCGCTCAACACAACAAATTTGGACAAAATTTTAAAAATTCTTAAAAATAATTTTCTTATGCTTCAAACAATGATGAATAGTATGGCCTACAAAGCCCTCCCTCCATATTGATATCTTTATTAATTTCTTTGAAAAGAAAAAGAAAACATAAAAACATCCTATTTTTCGGCTCTAAGCCGAAACACGTCTCCTTAAATTAGAATTATTTTGATTAATAAATATCTTTTTTTTGTACAAATTGATCGTACAATCGGCGAAATCGTTGACTTTCGCAGGAAATCGCCGCTCTCGAGTTGAAACGGGCGCTCCACCGCACGACCAGAATAGTATATCTGAACGAGGCGTCCCGAATCATCGCTCATCCCGAAAGTCGACCGGAAGACGCACGGATTAATTTCGAGAATTCAGCTTGATGCTCATTACGTCGCCGGACGTTCCGTCGTTGACAAATGGCGACGGATACCCGGGGATAACGTCGTAAGGTCGTAGTCGCGGGCGGATGCGGACAGAGTGTGTTTTCTAGTTGTCATTTGCATACACGTGCAGTGTCTGATCGCGGCTAACTCGAGGGGAAAATTTAATATGTCTTGATTGCTCCCGTTTCCAGTGCTAGCAGATTCACGAGACGGAGACGAGTATCGTGTATCTCGAGATTGAACGTGAAGAGCGGGAGAAGGAGGAACGTGATGCACAAGATGTACACACGTGATCGTGCGGCCTCACGAAGAAACAGCGTGCAGCCGCCGAATTGATCTCAGGAAATCGCGGAATCGCCGCGAATCCTCAATCTCGCCGTGTCGAGGTTCACGTCCAGCAGATTCCAGCCGGTTGTACCGTCCGACGCCGAGCAACGATTGCCGATCTTGCGACACGATCTCAACTTGGCCGCTGTCGACGAGCACGCCGCGGCTGTGCGTCGTCGAGGTCGCCGGGGATTTAATTTCAGGCTTTTAATTTCCTCGAGCATCGGCGATCCGACTTCCACGTCGGATTTGTGCCGCTCGGGCACGGGATCAGCCGCCACCTCTGATTAACAAGGCTGTTACGTAACGCACCGTCCGACGACCGCGAAGGTACCTGAGGCAGCTACGCAGGTATTCACGTACTTAATCCTAGGCGAGCGAGTACCGTCGATTCTACGTCGGCTGTACGCGTGCGTGCGTGCGTGCGTGCGTGCGTGCGTGCGTGCGTGCACACGTACGTGCGTCGCCGTACGATGCCAGGGATTTGCACGGAAAGTTGCTGCTTGCACTCCGAGTGGAGATCCGCCCGATTAGCGTCCGAGAATTTTCGCGCGGGTTTTCTTCGCGCGACGCGTGGCCTGTTCGACGATTTATTACCGGTTTCACTACCATTCATTAGCCAAATTTAACTCGACTCAATCCGAAACGTTCCCTGCGCGAATCCTGGTTCTACAGAAAAGGACTGAGAGATCAAGGAATACCAAGAGATACCAAGGAATTTAGTCTGAGAATGCATCAACAGAGTACTTGACATTAAAAGGAAAAACAATTCTCTCTTCCTCTTATTCATATGTTATTATATATATTTTTCCAATATTTCCACTTTTTTAATTATTATTTATTCCTCTTATGTACATATTCCTCTTAATTATATATTATTATATATATTATTATTATATATTATTATATATATTATTATTATATATTATTATATATATTATTTTTATATATTATTATATATATTATTATTATATATTATTATATATATTATTATTATATATTATTATATATATTATTATTATATATTATTATATATATTATTATTATATATTATTATATATATTATTTTTATATATTATTATATATATTATTATTATATATTATTATATATATTATTATTATATATTATTATATATATTATTATTATATATTATTATATATATTATTATTATATATTATTATATATATTATTTTTATATATTATTATATATATTATTATTATATATTATTATATATATTATTATTATATATTATTATATATATTATTATTATATATTATTATATATATTATTATTATATATTATTATATATATTATTTTTATATATTATTATATATATTATTATTATATATTATTATATATATTATTATTATATATTATTATATATATTATTATTATATATTATTATATATATTATTATTATATATTATTATATATTTTCCTATATTTCTTCAAAACAAAAACTCGTAGATATCGAAGAATGAACCAAAATGGATTTTGGATTATTTTGGACTATTATTAGGATTATTTTGTGCAGAATTTACTCAGCAGTAAAATAATTCGACAATTTCATCGAATCGCATATATATAGATAAATTTACTTATTTATGCTATTTATATATTATATAATTATACATTTCATATGGTAATTTGTGAGCATCTAGAAAGAAAATCAAAGTTCTCATTCGTACCTTATTTAAGCCATGTACCGCAAGTGAATTGGATATACAGCAGCAAAAAAACGCGAAGAGCCAGCATCTTACGAAATGTACTGTGCTAGAGATTGCGATTTTCGAAATTGTTTAACTGCTGACCTGCAGAAACCTATATGTCTGCACAACAAGCACTCGACACGAAGACGCGTGACGAGTCGTAACAAGCGTGACAGTCCAATTGGACGTGCGCGTGCACTCCTTAGCGTCATATAATCATATTTTGAGATGCACACGGGATATTCCGACTGTGTATACCACGACAGATGAATACGATATATAAACGGTGATAAACAGATGAATATACAATACGAAGTGTTACGCAATTTCTCTGATTTTATTTAACGTGTAGAATATGTTTGTAAAGATAGAATGAGAAGAAATGATTACTTGTCAGATATTTCGATTTTATCAGGTAGTTATAAATATCAGGCAGAATTGAATGCAATTAAATAATTATGTAATCGATATAGATGTAATTAAATAATAATTCTCGGCAAATTACTAATGAGCTCTTCATAGCGAAGGTCATACTAACATCACTCCAATGATATCATCCATCTGGGAAGAATCAACGACGGCCGACAGGTGGGGGTCAAATGACCGCGAGAAGAATCACAAGAAAAACGTAATTGCGTCAATATCAGAGGAAATTACGCTGTGGAAATTACATTTTTTCACGTCCAACTGATTTGATGACTCTGACCGTTGACATGAGGCGTATCCATTGAATACAGTTAACTTCGCTGTTACTCGCACGGGGAAAGAACTTTATTACCAGACCCCGAAGTGAATTTCGCGGAAGATGAGATGATTACGGTGTGGTCGGAAATTTTATGAAGATCCACCACAGACCGAAACAAAGACAGTCGGCACCCGCGGTGCGACCCCAACTGCCAACAAGATTGTGTTATTTCACTTTCAGTTATTTCGTTCTAATTTTAGAAAAAACGCGTTTCTTCCACTGAGACCGGAAATATTGCTTCACGGAAAGCGGAATGAGGCACGGCAAGAATTCTATCTCATTTTGTCGCTAGCAGAGGAGCGTTTCATGAGCAAACACAGGAATGAACAGAGAAGCTCGTATCAGTATCTTTCTTTGTATAAGATCGATCAAGATAATTTTAACTAGCTAGGTCAATGCTTTACTATTGAAATAAAGCCCATACAAAGAAAAATATATACCACACTCAAGCAAACATTACTTATAATACTTCAAATATTTCATAAGTTTATGCATTCACAGATATATCAGGTAATAAGTCATATATCAGGTCATAAGTTATAAGGGTCAAAATACATTCTGCTTTTATTTAAAAAATATATTTTAATTTTATTTATTCAAAATATATTTTGAATTCTAGTAAGTTTTACAGTTTAATCAAAAATATTAAATTGAAACAAAATGTTGTAAAATGATTTACTTATCACATAGAATCGTATAAACTCTTTTTTCTGATAAAATTTTATAATATTCTTGTAAAGAGCATAATATTCTTTGTTGAAGACAGCCGTCACATTTAAAAGAGGAAAAGTAAACTACTTTTCTTGGCGGTAGAATGATATTTTTTTGTGTGCACGTAACACACAGTCCATACAGCTTACAGATAAAATACTCTTTCTGCGTCTCTCTCTTTCTCTTTCTCTCCCTCTCTCTCTCTCTCTCTCTCTCTCTCTCTCTCTCTCTCTCTCTCTCTCTCTCTCTATGTGTATGTGTCATGCCGGCGCATTCTTGAGAACAATTTTGCACGAAACATCTCAACATTCGGTCGTAAAATATTGCTCGGAATTGACGCGTCACTTTATAATTCCGCGACAGAAAGGTGCGCTTTGCTTATTGAACTGTGGTCTTTCGCGGCTCGATAGGAACTTCACGGGACACCCCATGCGTACGACAAGTATTGCAATAACGGGACATGTGTGCCGCGATTCCCTACGACACCCAAATTCCCACGACTTCGTCACGTACGATCTTACGTCACGAAAGTAATTCATTGACTCGCTGACACACAAGGGGTTCGTACACGCACGCACGCACCACGCACGTATCCATCCACGCGCACACCCGCAATTCGCGCAAAAGTGCAAAACAGAAGACAAATAAACGTCTCCCGGCGAGTCTAAAAGCCACAACCTGATCGTTTGCCGGTACTCCCACCCGCACCTCCCACACGTGCTCTCTCTCTCTCTCTCTCTCTCTCTCTCTCTGTCTTTCTCTCCATCTTTCTTCCTCTCGCTCTTGAAAGAAAAAAAAGAAACATAAAAAGAAGGGAATCTTACCTCCCGTAACAGTATCCTTGCCGGTATATTCCGTGCTCCTAGGAATGCGATCGCGGTAACCCGCCCTCGCACGACTTCCGCTTAGTCGCGATCGGCGACGATCGGCGGAAGCGGCCGATGAAGCGGGACGAGAAAAGAGAAGAATTTCCGCGCTCGGGGCAACGTTCGTGGATCCGATTGTTCGTGGCGCAGACAGCAACCGATTTTTCGCGCTGCTATTTAAAGATCGTTCGAGTCACTCGCGGGCGGGTCGAGGTCGATCGCGAGGTTGGCCCGCGAAAAAGAGCTGCCCCTGAAATTGAATGACACGCGCGCGCGCGCGCGAGACCACGAGATCGCGATCACTCGCGGTAGTCGATCGCGGGACTGGGTTGATTTCGCGGCGGGATCGAAGCCGCGTGGTGTGATACGATCTATCGCAGCCTGAGGCCGAGTTAGGACTGTGGACTCTGACAGACCGCGACTCCGCTCTCTCGTTCGCGGCCAGGCCTACCAACACCGACACTCCGCCGTTCTCTTGGTGCCGGCGACGCGACAACGACCCCACCACCGAAGGCTCCTTGATGCACGCCTGGTAGCGCGAGCTGATGTGGTAGGATCGCCACGCCGAGCCGCGTCGAGCTGAGCTGAGCCGCGAGCGAGCCACGCCGGTCGCTCTTTTCTTCTTCTTCTTGTTCTTCTTCTTCTTCTAAGGAGAACCACTCGGTGGCTGTGTGTCTCTCGTGACTCAATCATCAGGGCAAGTGTGGGTATACGCGCGTTGCGCGCGACCGTGGTGGTTGCGGCCGTGTGGTTGTGCCAGGTGGCACGGGTAGCATACTTATAGCCGTAAGGCACTTATGGCCAGTGCCTTCGGCATCGGTAAACATTATCCCCCACGCGGCCGTCGAGCGAAAGTCCAGTGGATGTTTATTGGATAAAACAAACGTATCTACAGCATCCACGGAGCTTCTGCCGGCGCCTATTGCCGCGCGAACGGTCTCGATCAGTGTCGCAAGTGAAGAGACAAAAACGTGGCTCTCTTATAAATAGAGTTTCTGTAAACATCGATCTGGAGTTAATTATATGGAAAAGAAGTTAGACAGCAAGAATCTGTGTGTTGTAGCTAAATTTCGCAACATATGTATAAAAGTGCTCTCTTAAGGTGAATTAGGAAAAATCTTTTTGATTGAGTCAGTAAAAAGAAAGATTGAAAAGAGTATTTCACCAACAAGTGAATAATTCACTGATTTTCAATAGAAACTATTCCCATTTCACTGCCCCATTTTATATCTCTGATTTTAATTAATGGAAGTAATATTTAACTACAAAATCTATAATATACAAATTTGTTGTACGTTGCGCCAAATTCAACTTCCTGCATTTGTGACGATGAAATTAATGGCTTCGATGTAATTTGCATGCATGACACTGTCTGTAATTGCAAACTATATCAATGACAAGAACAGGCGCCACTATTAATTTATTCTTTCAGCGAGATTTTCTGATTGTAGTACTATACTTATAACTAAGCCATCAGCTATAAATATAGCATTTCAGTGAAAAATACACTGATTGTACTTTAGAGAGCATATGCCAGTAAACATATGTTCAGCTATGAAACTAATGTAATGGCAAAAGTTGCAATAGTAAATTTTTAATTACAGCGATAAGTATATGTTCAACAAACTATGATTAGCCGCAGCAGTGAAATCTTCTTCCTTTTTCCATGTAGCTTCCACTTTCTTCACCTCGTTCTCTTCATCGTCAAAAAGAAGCATAGGACTAAACTTGCGTTTACACAGTTGAGTGCTAAATATCGTGTAAACGTTAGATCAAGATTGTAAACGCTACATTGAGGGAAAATATATCTAAGAAATAAAAAAATACTTACATGATTAGGTACTAATTACATATTTACATACTAATATTTTTACATTGAGAAATAAATTTCTTTCAAATGAGAAAATATATATTTTCCTAAAACACTGTTGCACTTTTCATAAAATTAATTGTTCATCTTATTTGAACAAAAAAATATAGATTTAACTAAATGCATTATTAATCGTATCCATCAAATAAATATTTCTTATTTTTTAAATATTGAATAAATACTTTTTTATTCTTCAGATATTTTTTCTTTCAGTACATGGATATCGACGATTAACGATTAACTATTTTTATCAAAGCGATCAAAGTGACAGCTTCTTGAAGAAATACGTAATGCAAAGAAAAAACTGTTTATTTACTTTTTTTAGATTTATTCAGTGCGTTAATTAAAAACATAAAATTTACCGTTATAAATTTTTTAATTCTCATAAAAAATTTTTTACCGTTATAAATTTTTTAATTTTCATCAAAAATTCTAAAGCCGTTATTTTTACTGTCTTAGTAGTTTACTATTAAGTATCTCTTAAAGCTCGCTTCTCTCTTTGAATGTCATCAGCGACAACGATGTGAAAGGCATGGATACTTAAAAAAAAGGTATCAAGTATCAAGGCAGATATCAAGGTAACATCTATGTATATAACGTTCTCGAATCTAATACGATAATTGGTTGTTCCGCAAATGACAAAATAAGCACAGTAATTGGCGCAATTTCGTGTATATAACAAGACAGTTACGGAAAGTCGGCAGAAGTGGAACATGTGTTTAAAGGAATTTAATTAACGTCGGCGTAATTATAAGCATTATAAATTTTACGGCTTCATAGATGTAAATCTCCTACTTTATACATTCAGATTATTACTCTCGGAAATGTGGTTAGCATATTAACACGATGTTGACCGCGATTAATCTTGACATGTACGGCAGAGCATATAGTGCGATAAGTAGTATGCTATTAATTCAACTGCCTTGTCAAACTAATCTATAATCCGATATCATATCGTTAATGTGTCGGGCTAAGAATCATCCCAACTAGTGATATAAATCCTATCGTTTAGACTTTACACACCTACTTTCCGAGAATCTTATGCCCGCTCGTGAGTCACCATGGCGCATTGGACAGATAGAAAAGCGCAACGGAACATGATTTAACAAAATACGGACCAGGATTGGCCTGATTCTTTCACGTAATGCGTCGAGGCTCTGGGAAAAGGCACGATCGGTTTCGCAAATTTGTTACTACTATCCGGAACTGAGTCGATTGCGATCGACGCGGTGTCCGTGACAATTCAACCGTTTCTTCATTGCCGACTACTTTTTACTTCGTGCCTTCATGAACAATGCCTTGACATCAGAAGAAGATTCCAATGAAGAAAACGGCACAAAGATCACCATGGAAGTCACCGATTTAGTACTAAGTACCAAAACAGTCAAAATAAATCGTTCAAAATTAAAACGAACTAGGTAGATAACTGTAAGAATTAGGTAGATAACCATAACGAACTAGGTAATTAACTGTAAGAAGATAAATAATAAAAGAAGAAAGTATGATGCGTCATATTCATATCACGTCACGTCATATACATAGCGGCTCGACAGTGCGTTATAGCGGAATCATAATTCTACACGTTTCGTCGACTGCATTTTTTTGGCGTCGCGGATTCTTGAAATCCTGATGAATCTTTCAATAAATCGACATAACTAATGAAAGATTAAAGTCTCGCGGAAATTGCGTGCCATCCTTTCTGCCAGTCCGAAGAAACGCCCGCTACCAGGAAGCCGATTAACACAAAAATGCCGATAAGTGTCGCGGAAATGAATCAGGTTTGAATTATCTGCGAGGTGAACGTCTCACGGAAACATTTAGATAATTCCCAGGAACATTGCGCGAAGTAATCGCGCCAAAAGCAAGCATCCTGTCTGGAGGATCACTCATTACGCGCGTCCACCAATCGAAGGCACTCATGGTCGCGCGGATCTTTCATTCGATGACTATATAACGAGTCCGTTAGGAGAGCCGATGGCACTAACTGTCGTGCCGTCGAGAAATGTCCTCGAAGAAAATGGGGATTCCGATTCGCGTTGTGCAATCGGCAGGAAGTGGGCGTTATACATTTGACAAGGAAAAATGCTAATACGTATGTTAATAAGCGCGCAATGCAAACAGAAACGAATCGACGGCCACAGAAACTTGACTTCCCGTATGCTCAAGGAACACGCATCGCGCCCGCACCCATGCGCGTACAAGCGAGTTCTTCCCTGCTCATTGCTAATTACATAACGAAAACAAGCAGGCATACTCATGGAAGGAACAAAGTATATACGAGTGAATTAAGGAAGTTGTATCGTTAGGTGCCGTATTTTCAGTGGCGTCTCAGAGGAGCCACTCAGAAATTTATCATTTATCAAACAAAATTGCGTTTTTATGCATTCTTATTTTGTTATCTAAGTATCACTGTTAATTTGGAAAACGAAATTGAGATAAATATGTACATATACAATTTTAGAAATTTGGAAAAACTAATATTTTTTATTCTGATGAGTGCTTTATTTATGCATCTGTTCATCTAGTAGAAATCAATTTGTTTAATATAGTTGATAAAAAGAAGTATATAAGTATTTAAATGTGTGTACACAAATATATTTTGAATATTATTATAAATTATATTTCTATTTTTGTTACTGTATCTTGAAAACAAAATATTGAATAATTCTGAAATTTGTTTATAATATTAGTCTTTTTAAAACAGTTTCTTATTAAAAACTTATATGTAATTTAGCAAATATTTAAAAATAGAAATAAAAAATAATACGCTAGTTTTGGAGGACTTGTATTAAAAGTATTGAGTTTAGTTGCAAATATCTTAGCTCTCTTTCTTAAATGATCAACCTTTTTTCCAATCGCAATAACAGTTATACCATGTACAATGTGTGAGTTTCAACAAATCTTCACGAAACTCGTTTCACGACACGACTACTTTAAACGTGTGAGAAGTTAAAAATTATAAGATATGTGTATAGGATAAAAGTGTGTAGGATAAAATCGATGCATAAGAAGATAAAAATTATTAACAAAGCTATCTTCTGTTGCACGGACGCTTCCTGGTGCATTCGATATCCTTGCAGAAGAAATGAACATGCACTCATGAGATCCTGGTGCATCAACGTGTGACAAATTATCAGTTCGTTGAAGAAGAGCTGAGGCATTCATTGCCTACACGCTATACGTTTATCGACGATTTTCAGATTGCTGTCATACGATACGCATTATCGGTTCACTCCCGTTTGAATGACAACATACAGATTAGAATATGCACTCACGATGCACTCACGATGCACTCACGAGGGTCGCCTTGGAACGTCCCATTGGAGAACTCCGTCTCTCTCGCGCGGCGCAGACCGATGCAACTTGTGGAGGGGCTCGTCTCCTCAATCACACGTACCGCAATGAGTCAGTCACACCCGTCGTATATTTTCTGACCCAGAAAAAGATGCTGAGGTGCGCGAGAGAAAGAGGGAGGAAGCGAGTGGAGTCGACAGCTGAACGCCCGACGAGATTATTGCCGACGACGTACACGTAGCCATTACAGATCGACGATTAGGGCTGTATTGCGCGTTAAAGGTCGTTGGAGCCATTAAGAAAA